ATAAAATATAATTATAGAAAAAAAAAAGAGTATCTTCTTTGGTGAAGTGTCTGTTCGTACTCTGTGCCCATTTTTCAACTGTGTTGTTTCCATTTATCTCGTTGTGGTGCTTGAGTATTTTATAAATTCTAGATATAAGTCCCTTATAAGACATGTCATTAACAAATATTTTTTCCCCCAGTCTGTGGCTTCATTTTTAACCCTACTGGAAAAGTTTTTGGATGTGCATAGGGATTTGTTTCTTAGAAGGTCTCATTCATCTATTTTATCCTCTCCTGGTTGTAGGCTTTTCAAGGTGCTTGGAAGACTGTGTATGTTGTAGATTAGGACTTCTAGAGTTCTTCCAAGCTTTTCTCTGATGAAGTTTATAGTCCTTAGTTTTAGTCCTAGGTCCTTGGATCCACTATGAGTTGTTTTTTGCTTATGGAGTGGAATATGGATCTTGGGTATTCTAGAAAGTTTTACAATTTTGCCAGTACCATTTGTTTAAAAGGCTGTCATTTCTCCATTTAACTGATTTCCTCTCCTTGTCAAAAATCAGCCAACCATAAGGAGATGGGCTGATTTCTGGGTTCTCAATTCTATTCCATTGATCTATGTGTCTATCATCGTACCAGTGCCACACTGTCTTGACCACCACGGCAGAGAAGAAATGTTAAAAATACCTAGCTCTAAGAGAGATGAAAATTAAAACAAATATGAGATATCATCTCACCCCAGTAATAATAGCAAATTTAACAGAACAGCAAACAACAAATACTGGTGAGGTTACAGAGAAACTGGAACCCTTATTCACTGTTGGTGGGAGTGTAAAATGGTGCAACCACTATGGAAGGCAGCATCGTGCTTTCTCAAAAAGTTGGAAATAGAAATACCATTTGACCCAGCAATTCCACTATTGGGAATATACCCTAAAGAGACCATAACTGCTATCCAAGCAGATATATGCACACACATTTATTGCAGCTTTGTTCACAACAGCAAAGAGTTGGAAACATCCAAGTGCCCATTAACAAATGAATGGACAGAGAAGTTGTATATTCACACAGTGGAATACTATGCTGCATTTAAAAACAAGGAACTCATGAAATATACAAAATGGGTGACTCTGGAGGACATTATGCTGAGTGAAATAATTTAGTCACAAAAGGACAAATACTGCATGGTGCCACTACTGTAAAGTGGGACTGATATAAGGGTTAAAGGGAAACTAAAAGGGGATAAATAATGTATACTGCATTGAAACAGATGTGGGAAAGAACTGTTTAGGAGGAATATGTGATTAGGTATTATTGTCATGACAAGAGTCCAGAATGAAAGCTGCATAGTGGAGAGGATGGGGTTGGGGGTGAATTGTATAACAAGGAAATTTTTTTTTACACTTTTCAAAGAGAAAAGAGAACTGGGGAGGAAGGGTGGGCAGGGAGGAAAATATGCAACAATGAATGAATGGAAATCCAAAGTCTCTGTAAACTTTCATTAAAATAAACAAAAAAATATGTATCTATATAAAACCCTTCTTGTTGTTCTGTATTATGGAGTTGGAACTGACCCATAGCTGACCCTCCAGTGGGTTTTCAGAGGCAGTTAATCCCAAGGGAGGAGTTTGCCCATCCTTCTCCCATGGAGCCGCTGGTGGCCTCAAACCATGTGCCTTCATGATTGCAGTTTCGTGCCAATAGGCCACCAGAGCTCTCTTCTAACCATCAGACCATTAAAATACAAGACGTATAAAATTTTTCCTATCAATTTTTGTCACATGACTTATTTCTTCTTTTTAAAACCTGTGCAATATAATTCTTTACAAGACTAATGTGTAACTTTGCCTAAAAATTGTTAAGTATTATCCATATCCAAATAAACAGGTTTTATTTGGATTGCTCAGAATTACTACAAAAAGACAAACCTGTTGCCCTCAAACCAATTTCAACTCAGGTGACAGAATACAGCTGCCTACAGGGTATCTAAGGGCAAAAATCATCACTGTAGCAGACACTGGATCTTTTTTCTGAGGAGCAGCTGATGGCTCTGAAGCCAGGCCTTATGTACCCACACCGACATCAGGGCTCCTCACTCAAACGAGACATGGAAACTCACTGCTGACGAGTTAGAACCAACTCAGAGCTGACCCTCCGTGGGTTTCTGAGACTGTAACACACATATGGGGAGATCCAACTTCTCACCTGGAGCCTCTGGTGGATTCAAACCACCAAAGGCACCATCACTGGGTTAGCACCATGCCACCAGAGCAATCACAAGAGTATAGTAATACTAAAAGACAAACTTAAAAGTGAAATAAAAATTAATAATACATGGCCATGAAAATCATATTCTAACCAAGATGTAATGGATTTTACCTTTCAAGTGGAAATTCAATTATAGTATGAAACTTTCCCTGAAGTGCAGCAGGTCCTTCTCCTACTTCAATATACTTGTTTTCAGTCACAATTGGAGAGCCGACTTGAGCCTGCGTTCTGGCTTGGGCTTCCTCCAGCGTCAGCAGCTTGGTGGGGGGCGAAGAAACCAGTAAGGACTTGGGTCTTGATAGGGAAGCTTTGATGGAAAGGCAACACAATGGGCAGGGTCAAACAGAGTAGACACGAGGGGAAAACACTACTTGTGTTGTTTTAAATTATTTTTATTACTTTTAATGGTAAGTATAATAATACTTTAAGTAAAAAATAGAAGGCAACATAACAAGTTGTTAACTTGGGCATAGATATATTTCAAATCCTTTCAGGAGTTTAACTATCTTCCTATCTCTAAGCATACCAGAAAAGGCAGGTATTTCCAGTTTTGGGAGATCTTTTCCTTGTGTTCCATAATATAACCTTTATAAACAAATAAATCATAGGTGCCATACTATTGTTTTAACTATGTCATGAACTTAGATTGTAATAAGTCTAACAGGTAGTACTCACTAAATACACTCAAAGTTCTAACTGTTAAATTGTACATTTTGGAACATATAAATTAGTTGCCAATTACACATTTAGCTATTCTTTAAGATCAAATAGAAAATTGGTAATTTTCCACACAGCATCCCTGCTCACCATACCTGGCCCCTCCTGGATGGCCGCACTGATCTTCCCACTGAAGAGGACATCCACATGGTTCAGGATGAATTCCACAACCACAGACTGAATCCTCACCTCCATAAATGCTGCCGTCCCACTGAAGCAGGCAGATTCGATCTGCTTTGATCTGTCAAGTAGATGCACAGTGCTTCCATCAGAATCTCTGAGATGACCCAGAGAACGAAATCACACTTTCATAGTTCCCCTGGCCAGTTCCAGCTGCCTTTCAGGAAGATGCTCATTAAAGTATAGATTTGTTCTCCTTTTCCTCTAAGGAACACTGATAAATTAAGAGTTTTATTTAAGAGAGCTGGTTCTCATTAAGGTTTTCTCTCTTCTCTCACTGCCACAGAATTAGAAGTGACTCAAAGTGGACTCTTCATTGGGTTTCTGAGGCTGTAAATCACAGGGGATGAGTTTGCCCATCTTTCTCCTGTGGAGTTGCTGTTATTTGAAAAGTCAGAGAGACAATGCCTCTCTGTGCAACTAGCTGTGCAACTCCCTACCGACTTCTTCAGCCACAAGAGCTTAAGGTCAACAAATAGTGAATTACCTTAGCAGGTTTGGAGCCCAAACAATTGCTAGATTTTTTGCGTGCATATTTGTGATGGAACAATAGTCAGCTAGAAGGGATAAGTGTCTCATCAGGAACTCCAGTGTCCTGGAAAAATAAATACAAGACATTAGCAGGGGGAAGAAAAAATCCATATAAAGCACAAAAATGTCCATTAACAAATGTGTAGTTTCCAAAACATAATGGGGAAAATATAAAGATTTTATATAATCTGCTGGGGTTTTTGCATTGTACTTGAGCATTATGAATTTACTGTTACTACAGAATGGAAGAAGGATGCTGTAAATAGAAGACGGAAGCTAAGGCAGATGCAGTTAGATGAGTTTTAGGATTAACTCTATAAAGAAATCTTCATTTTTTGTTGGATTTTTCCTTCTTTTTTTAAAAAAATGTGATTTGAGTGAAAGTATACAAAATATATTGGTTTTTCAATAAATCATTTATATACTTTGCTTTATAACATTAATCACACCTATAATGTCTGACCTTACTCCAGCTTGCCTTTCTTTTTCACATATCTACTTTTCTTATTGTTATTAGGTGCTGTTAACCTGTGAGGTGCATAGTCAATCACTACTAAGATTTATCATGATCCTAGCCTGTGAACGACAGATATGAACCTTGCTCTATCCTGTGCCATCATCATGATTTCTGATGTGGTCAAGCCCATCATTACAGATACTATGTCAATCCATCTTGTTGAGGGTCTTCCTTTCTTTCACTGATCCTCATCTTTCGCCACAGGTCTAATACCTCCTAACAACATGCCCAAAGTATGTGAGATGAAATTTCCCCATCCCTGCATCTAAAAAGTATACTGCGTCCGTTTCCTCCAAGATAGATTTGGTTGTTCTCTGGGCTGTCTATGTGATATTCAGGACTCTTCTCCAACACCACCACTCAAACACACCAACCCTTTTTCTATCATGCTTTTTCACTGTTGAACTTTCAGATACATAAGAAACAGCTGAAATATAATGGTTTGAATCAGGCTCACTTTTATCTTTAAACTAGTATCAATCCTTTTTAGCTCTTTGGAGAAGTTCTTACAGCAGATGTTCCCAATGTAAGATGTCTTTTGATTTATTAACTGCTATTAACTATGAGTGTTAACTGTTGATCCAAGTAAAATAAAATTACTGACAAGGTCAATCTTTTCTCCATCTATCATTATTTTGCCTATTGGTCCAGTGGTGAGAATTTTTGTTTTCTTGATGTTGAGATGTATCCATATTGAAAGTTCTAGTTTTAACCTTCTTCTGAAAGTGCTTCAAATCCTTTTTACTTTCTGCAAGTAAGGTGGTATCATCTGCATAAGCAGACTGTTTGTTCATGAGCCTTCAAGCAATCCTGGTGCCACATTTTTATTTCTATATAGTTCAGCTTCTTGAATAATTTGCTTAGCATATAGATGACTGTTGCTGTTGTTGGTATGTGTCACCCAGTGCGAAGATTGTCCGCTGACCCTCCAGTATAGTTTTCAGAGGCTGTAAATCACACAGAAGGAAACTGCCCATTTTCTCCCATGGAGCAGCTTGTGTGCTGGAACCATTTGTCTTTGGGTTGGCAGAACAACTTACCCACCAGGCCACCGGAACTCCCTAGGATTGGATAGGTAGGAGCAAGGATACAACCCTGATGTGATGTATCTTTCCAGACCTGACTTAAAATCATGCAGTGTTGCCCTGTTCTGCTCTCATAACTGCTCTTGACCTAGGTCTAGGTTTCACACAACCACCATTAGATGCACTGGGATCCTCTTCTTTTCAATGTTAGCCATAATTTGCTATGATTATAGTTAAATGCTTTTGCATAGTCAATAAAATATAAGTGAACATCTTTCTGGTATTCTTTGCTTTCAACCAAGATCCATCTGATACCAGAAATGAAATTCCTCCTTCTAAGGCTTCTTTTGAATTAAACTTGAATTTCTAGCAGTTTTCTGTTAATATACTGTTTCATTCATTTTTAAATAATCTTCAGTAAGATTCTGTTGCTGTTGTCAAGTGCTACTGAGTCAAGCGCGCATGAGTTGAGAGATCTGAATCCTGTCCTGCCTTGTGCCATTCTCATCTCTGACAAACTTGAGCCCAGTGCTGAGTCACCATGTCAATTCATCTAATTGAGGATCTTCTTCTCTTTCACTGACCCTCTGTTTTTTAAAGTGTGATATTCCTTTCCAAAGAAGAGTCCCTACTAGCAACATGCCCAAAGTATGTGAGATGAGGCTTTGCCATCCTTGCTACCAGGAACACTCTGGCTATACTTTTTCTAAGACACATCTATTTGTTCTTCGTAAATATTAATGGTATTGTTTCATAATTTCCATATTCTGTTGTGTCACCTATTTTTTTTTTTTTAGGATGAGAATAAAAAAGGATCTCTTCCAGTCAGCTGGCCAAATAACTGTCCTCCAAATTTCTTGGCACACACTACTGAGTGTACCCCGGGCCATGTCTGTTTGCTGAAACATGTCAATTGGTATGCTATCAATCCTTAGGTCATTATTATTTGCCAGCGCCTTCTGTACAGCTTGAATTTCTTACTTCATTAGTTATTTCAAAGGTTTGGTTTTTGGTGTTTTTTTTTCCAAATCCCTTCTTCTTTTCCCCTCACTAGTATAATGATGGAACTCTTGTGCCCAGTGGGAAGGAACTGTACTACCAACCCAAAGGCACATGGTTGGGTCTATTAGCTGCTCCACAGGAGGAAGATGGGAATTCTCCTCTTGTGCAATTTACTTTCTCTGAAAACCTGCTGGAGGGTCAGCTATGATATAATTCTGACTCAATGGTATCACACTACAACAGAATGACTGACAACAACAGAACAACCATACCAGAATGATTCTAACTTTGAATCTTTCTCATTCATTGCTGTAAAATTAGAATGGATCATAGCTTAAACCTTCAGTTTCTGAGAGATACCAGTGCAGCGAATCCTCCACAGAAGCTATTTTCTAGATCAGATTAGATTGTGAAGCTATGCTATTCAATATACTAAGCAGACATACTAACAGAATAGAATTCAAACTCTTCTCTATGAAATAAGACAACACAATGTCTAACCAGTCAGAAAAAAAGAGAAAAATTCTAATAGGCATTCAAGTGAGAGTTCAGCAAGTAATGTGCTTTTGGAATAGAGCCACTTAAGTCTTATATGCGAGTTTATTTTGTGGACTCTAAGTTTTCATTATTTAAGTAATTCCATACATATTGAGGATAACTAACAGGGCAGTTATCATAGACATTAAAACTATTAAAGACAACATAGGCACATAGGAAAGGTGAATATGGAGAGGTGAAGAGGACTCCACCCATTACCATAAATAGCTCTGAGAGCTCAGATGCTCTTTCCACATTCATGTTAGCATATTCTATGAATACATCTACTGCTGAAAATAATCCAAAATCAGCTGAAACAGTACATTGACAGAGAATTACCAGAAATACAAGCTGGGTTTGGAAGAGGCTGTGGCACTAGGGACATCATCACCAATGTATGATTGATCTTGGCTGAAAGCAGAGAGTACCAGAGGAATGTCTATCTGTTTTTCATTGACTAAGGAAAGGCATTTGATTGCAAAGATCACAAATTGTGGCTAACTCTGAGAAAAATGGGAATCTTAGAGCATATGATTGTGCTCATGCAAAAACTGTATGTAGACCAGGAAGCAGTCATCAGACAGAACAAAGAAACACTTTATGGTTCAAAATCAGAAAGGGAGTGCATCAGCGATTCGTTCTGTTTCTATACCTTTTCAATCTGTACATGTAACAGATTATGCAGGAAGCTGGAGTTTATGAGGAGGAATGTGGCTTTAATGTTTGGAGCAAGATTCATTAAAAATCTGCATTATGCAGATGACACAACCTTGCTTGCTGAAACTAAGGAGGGCCTGAAGTATCTGCTGCAGAAGGACAAGTACCATAGTATTCAATATGGATTGAAGCTCAACATAAAAAAAACAAAGATTCTCACCACTGGGTCGAATGGCAGCACCATAATGGATGGAGAACTGTTAACAGTTGCAACTTGCTCAGATCCACAATGAACACTGGCACCACCAGTCAAGAAATCAAAAGATGGATTGCATTAGGAAAATCTGCCATTAGAGACCTCTCTGGAGTGCTGAAAAGCAACAATGTCTAGAGACTAAGGTGTGCTGATACATGGTATAGTCTTTGCAATTATCTGCTATGCATCAGAGAGCTGGACAAAGACCAAATATGACAGAAGGAGAATTGATGCCTTTGATGTGGTGCAGGAGAAGAACATACTGTGGACCACCAAGAAGTTACTGATCTATTTTGGAGAAGGTGAAACCAAGTTGTTCCTCGAAGGCAAGGATTTTGAACATGTTTTTGGGAATACTTTAGGCATGTTCCCAGGAGGGATCAGACTTTGGAAAAGGTTATCATGCTTAGAAGGGTAGAAGGACAGCTCAGGAATTAAAGACTCTGGATGAAATGAACTGACATGGTAACAGTAACTGGGGTAATGAAGTGTGTCAGAGACAGTGAGATTGGCTCAAGAGACTGGCAGCATTCAGAGACAGGTTTTTTTTCTTTTTTTTTAATTCATTAGTTGTTTGTTTTATTAAAATTGAGATTTTAATGAAAGTTTATAAAGAACTTGCATTTCAATTAATTCATTTTTGCACATTTTCCTCCCTGCCCATTCCACGCTCAGTTTGCTTTTCTCTTTGGGGGAAAAAAAAAACCAACCCCAAACTTTCATTGTTGTACAATTCCTCATCCCCATCCTAGTCCACTTTACTATGCAGCTCTTCTTCTGGATTGTTGTCATGCAAATAATACCTAATCATATATTCCTTTTAAGCAACTTCGTCCCTCATCAGTTTCAATGCAGTGTACATTATTTATCCCCTTTTCTTTGCTTTCCCCCAATTCCCGATGTCAGCCCTGTTTTATAACAGCAGTATTATGCAGCATTTGTCCTTTTGTGACTGAGATATTTCACTCAGGGTCACCAATTTTTGTATAATTTTGTAATACGTTTTTCTTGTTTTTCAGTGCTGCATCATATTCAATTGTGTGAATATACCACAGGTTCTCTATCGATTCATTTGTTGATGGGTTAAGAGATATGGTGAATAGGGTTGCTATGAGTCACAGTCAACTTGAGGGCACATTACAACTACAATATACACATCCACATATATAGCAGAGACAGTAGGAAACAATACTGTGTAAGCTTCTGAACCATATTCAAACACCCTGAGGGAATGAGTTGTTTCTGGGGCCTTGAATTGTAGTCATAGGGGACATAAAGGTCAACTGGAAGAACACAGTCCCCAGTCCATATTTTGTTGAGCCTGGGGTCTCAAAAGGTTATAGCTAAACATCAAGGAAGCTATTGCTCTCTATTTGTCTGGAACAAAGAAGGACAGCAAAAATCAAAGATGTAGTGAAAATGGACCACTGAACGTCTAGTACTCCGAGAACAATAGAATTGGATGGTTTCCAGATACCAGTACTGTAGAGTGTGGAAAAACATGGAACAAAGCTAAAAACATAAGCAAAGGCCAGGCTTATTGGTCTGATAGCAACTACTGGAAAGAAATCCCAAGACTATCATCCTAGTCACCATTCAATCTGCAATAAAATTCACCTTTCTGGACTCAACATAGCCAAACAATACATATGTTATAGGATGACCAATGATAACCAACTACAAGGTCAAAAGAGCAGAAGAGCAGCACTTACCTAAGGACAAAGCCCTGAAGACAGAAGGATTAGAGGAAATCAGAATTACAGGGAGGAAGTAGGTAAAGTGGTTATATTGTGTGTATTGTAATTAATGTTATAAAACAAAGAATGGGTGAATGAAGAATCAATTTGTTTTGTAAATGTTCACTCAAGCCATAATTAAAAAAAAACACTATTAAATACAATGAAGGAAGGCTATAAGACTTACTTGTAGCAGTTTTAGTCAAAGTTAAATTATGGTCCACTTATGTGACTTAAAGATTCAGACAGGTGTAATGCTAATTTGAAAGGCAAAGTATGATAGCAACAATCCTGGGTACTGTTCAAGATGCTGTCCTAGGCTATCTTATTCAGTTTTTAAAATAATTGTTTTTAAAATAAATCGTCAATTCCATTCTATGGAGAAGTGGCAGTGCTTTGATTTAAATCAAGGTCAGTGTGGCTCTGACGTCAATCAACACTACCTATTTTTACTACTCTACAATAAAAATTCTTAACTCTTTATCCCTCCTGAACCTGGTTAAATAAATACACAGGCAGAAGTGAGACTTGTCAGGAGGTTATTTAGAGGTGGGTAAATTGAAAAATGTGTTCAGAAAACAATTTAATACCTGTTATTCAGAAGAGGGAAGAGTGAGGGGGAAAGATTAAAACACTTCAGAAATGTTATTTTACAAGAAAGGCACATTGAAACAACCAGAGTCATTTATTTATCAACACTTAGCAACAGCTATCATTGTTGCTGTGGCCTCCTGCGGAGCAGCTAGTGGATTTGAAACATGTGCCTTTGGGATTGCAGCACAGCTTCTTACCACTAGGCCACCAGAGCTCCCTTAGGAACAGTTGTAACAAAACCAATAAATAAGAGCAAAAGCTAAAAAAAAAAAAAAAGGAAACAGGCTACGTCAACCACTCATTGGTTTATTAACTCATTAAAACACTATTAAAAAAATGAATTGGACGTCAAGCACTGTGCTAGGTCTCTGTAATACTAAGACAAATAAATAAAGAGAAAGATAAATGCATATTTTACTAATAAAATATATTCTCTGATAAAAATAACTTCAAATAAGTTTAATAATTAGAAACCAATTTCATGTATCAGTTGACTCACTATTTTGTCTGCTATTGTACAACATATGTTTACCTGTAGTGTGGAGGGGGGAGCTGCTGAATGACATCATGAATTTTTATCAGCCTTTCTTCATCTGTTGCTGCTGAAACAGCATCCTATAACAATCACAGTGCAAAATAAATTAGTATTGGCTTGTAGAAACCAGCTCTTCGTTGACAATTCAATCTGAAATGAATCCTCTCTGCTTTAAATGAGGAAAATGACATAATATCAAAGACTTAAGCTTTGTATTTCTCTATACTATTTACAGTAAAGTCTATAAAAGAATGTATTTTTAAAATTTGCTGGTAAGCAATAAGGAAGAATATAAAAAAATTGTTTCAAAGACAGAAAGGTAAAGAATGAGAAAAGAGCAAAGATTATGAACTAGCATGAACAACAATGTATACGAACTTTGTAAGTAAACCAGTATAAAATAAAGAAGAATAGATCGAAACCTCAAAAACCAAAACAAAATTAAAAAAAAAGAAAAGAAGCCCTATTGGCCATAGAACTATTTCTTACATGTTACCAAACTAATCTTCATGATGTTCACAATAAAACCACATGACAAATTGATTCAAAACTACCTTTTACTTACAGAAAATTTCTCATAGAGTTGGTATGTGAGCAGTGGGTTTGGGAGCTCTCGGAAGTACAGCTTACAAAGGGAGCCAACAGAATGAATGTCTTGGACATACGGTTCTTTTGTCAGGTCGGGAACATGTTCAGAGTCAAACTCGTGGCTAACAAAAACAGAAGTTGTACACAATGGAATACTATGCAGCACTCAGGAGCAACGGTTTTTAAAAATACAATGTAATTTGGGAGAGGCTGGAGAGCATTAAGTTGAGCGAACTAATGCATTCTCATAAGGGCAAATATTGCATAAGACCATTATTGTAAAAATAAAAGGATAAAATAAAAAAGTAAAATATGTACATGAACTCAAGGAGGGGGAGGGGGTAGGGGTGAGCAGAGGGGTGAGGATGGGTAGGGGTAAAACCACAGGGTTGAACAGTTTGGTGGGTGGAGGGGGGAAAGTAAATGGGAAGAATCCGGACAAAAAGACAGTGTAATTATAGGTAAGGTCCAATGGTGATTGATTTTATAAAACATAATGCATGAGAATGAGTGTATGAAACACAATGTGAATGATGAATAGTGTGAAACACAATGAATATAAACTTTGTAAACAAACCAGTTAAAAAATAATGTAACATAGACTGTATATGAATGACTATATGAAACACAATGTAAATGAAAAATTGTATAAAACAATTTATATGAATGAAACATAATGAAAAGGAATTATTATATGAAAACCAATTAAGAGTACTTAAAAAACAAAACAGAAGTTAGAGAAACAAAATGGAGTGATTTTGTTGGAGAAAAGTCAATACAGGAGCTATAAGTCTTAACCTTTATCTTCAAATGTTAAATTTCTTCAAATGAGAATGTTCCTTTTAAGTTATACTTGGATGCTCACAGAATAGGAGAAAACATGCAACACAATTTCAAATTCTTAAAATATCCAGACTTAATGGAATGACTGATACTGGGGGCCTCTTTAAGATGACTGCCTTGAGAGGAGCTTTAAACCTTAAACTGAAATTGCCTTTTTAGGTCACCTGTTAATATCACTCACAGTACTTTATAGTAAAAAAGACCAACTAGAAGATATCTGATGGCTTAATGGTAAGGAATTACACTGTCAATGCAAAAGTATGTGGTTCAAATCCACCAGCTGCTCCATGAGAGACTAGAAATCTTGTGCCTCTGAAAACTCACTGCAGGGTCAGCTATGAGTTGGCTCCAACTTATAATAACAGAGGATATGAAATGGCCAAAATGACTCTAAAGCAAAGATGAGGAGGTAAGGGGAAATCTGAGTTCTCTGACACAATGAGAACAGATGAACAAAGAATGGCATGCTGAACAATGTAATCAGAAAAAAGGCATATTTGAATTAAATGAGAACCTTATATGCTGTGTAAGCTCGCACCTTTTTAATTATTACTTATTTTTATTAATATTTTTTATTATTCATATACATTGTGTTTCATGTATGTTCACTGAGTTCTATAAAACATTTCATTTACATTCTTTTCTTTCAGGTACATTGTGGATTTTTTCTCTGTCCAATGATCTTACTAATAACTACATTCATAAAAGTGTGAAAGCCAGCTACTTCATGCCTCACGCCTTAATATTAAGCTCTCATCTCAGACACTATTTCAAAATTATGAGCTAAAGAGCGATTCTATTCATATGAAAATTTTAGCTTTCATGTTGTCATAAGTTCAATATCTCTTGGTGTGCTAAAATTAGAAAGAGATAAAATAGAAGTAGTAATGCATCACTAAAAAACTGAGCAATGATTTTTGAAGTACTGCACAACATAGGTAATTCGTGACCAAATTAAGCTGAGTGACATAAAGGCAGTCATAAAAACGAGCTACAGTATAAGAAAACTAATACAAAAATCTAAGGGAATTTTACACACAGAATTCATCTTAGAGAGCTAAAAGGGATGAGAAGGGAGGAAGAAAGGAGCAAATTAATAAATAAGTAAGCTGAGTGAAAGGAAAGGCAATATACAATAGAGCTTTGGCTGTTGTTATTTTTCACTCAGAACTGACTCTTAGCTGACCCAACAGAGAGTGTGCAGAGGCAGTAAATCTCATGGGAGGAGATTCCCATCTTTCTCCAGTAGAGCAGCTGGTAGATTCAAACCACCTGCCTTTGGGGTAGCAGCACAACAACTTCTTCCCAAAATGCCACAGCACGCCCTAGAGTTTTATTTGTTGTTGTAGTGTGCCACTGAATCAGAGCCACCTCACAGCTAACCCTCCAGTGGGCTTCAAGGCTTTAAAGTAGAAGGGAAGAGACTGCCCATCTTTCTCCTCTGGATTCAAATTGCAAGCCTTAAGGTTGGCAGCACAACTTCTTACCACTAGGCCATCAGAACTCACTAGAGTTTTGATTAGACTTTGTAATGAAGCCATTTTAATTGGTGTTATAAAACAAAACGTCTATGAAAGATTGTAAATACTCTGTTTTATAAACTTGTGCTCAAGTAATAAAATGTTATAGACTTAAAAAAAATACCAAAAAGGAGTTAAGGTATGATTTTCTGAAAAGATTGATGAAAGTTTTCTGACATCAATTAAAGATGCCATCCAGGATGTCTTGTTGACACTAAAAAAGAGGCTTAAATCATAAAAGAGTCAGACATTCCACATGACCCTCAACCAGAACATGCATGCCCATCTTACAGATTCCTGCCATGTCACTCAGTCACCAAAATGGAGACGAGGGGATCACTTTAAAAACAAGGACCCTCCAGGATGTCCTGGTGACACTTAAAAATAAGGACCTTCCAGGATGTCTTGTTGGCACTTAAAAACAAGGACCCTCCTGTGGATTTACAGCCTCTCAAAACCTGGTGGAGGGTCAGCGATGAGTCATTTCTGACTAGATGGCCCACAATAAGTCTCCTTGCCCACTTAAATTTTAAAGTTCCCAAGATCCTACTATGTGGTGAATGTGGTAAAGGTTTCATCCACAGACAAATCTTGGCCCTTTTATTTAAAAGTTGGTTTGGCCTTCAGGACTCATGTTACTATATTTCGGAGGAACATTCTTCTAAGTGGTATGGCACTCTTCTGTTCATTTGCTGTACTGAGGTAATAAAGGTTTGCTGTGATGCTGAGGCTTGTGCTCTTGGGGTGTCAAATGCCATAACGGTTGCCCATGGTAGACAAGTGTTTGGTAGCACTCCCAGTTTAAGACAGGTTTGGAAGCAGGAGTGGCATCCACTTCCTAAACCACCTGCCTCTGGAAACTCTATGAACTTGGAGAAAGGATGTTAGTTACAGAGAGGCTCCAGGCCTTTTGTTCATAGGGTCACTATGTATCACGCTTCGCTCAATAGCAATCATCATTGACAACAACAAGAACAACAGTTAAAGATAAGATGGGGGGAAAAACAACATACAGAAAACAATATTATGCCCATCTTATCCAAACTATGCTACTGTAATTATAGTTATCAAAATCAACTCAAATTTGAAATATTTTCATTTTAATGAATTATATTAGGAACTGAAAAGTAAAATGCCCTGTAAGGTTTTACCGTAGTCTCTGAATGTTGGAGGCGACGCCAGAGAGACGATAGATTCCGTCGACAATGCCATACCTCTCGATGAATGCTGTGCAGCTCTGAAGAACCTGGGGTACTAGAGAGAACAGTGGAGGGCACAGATTAATCTGGGAGGATGCACTGGAATCCAAGTCATCTATCTGAAAACTAAGAACAACTTAACTTTTATAAGCAAAAATAAATTTCAAATAAAAGTTAAACAGGGGAGGGAAATTAAAAACAGAAAAGTGGAACAGTGGGAGTGGACTTGAATCGGGACACACCCCTGCATCTCTGACCCAC